TATGAGTATTTAACCTATATATACAGTATAGTTATATATATATACAAATATGTGCGAGCACACACACACATATATGCATATGTACATATATGTATAAATTTAGTAGCAGTATAGTCCTCATCTTTAAAAAACATATAATACTGTATAGCTGAAGTTCCAGGATATGGGTACATTTAGGAAAAAAGTTCACTTAAGCCCAAGAATTCAAGGATATTCTTAAAATCACAGACACACTCTCTATACTAAAAATACAGATAAATTTAATATAAAATTACTTCAATGGCTTGACTAAAATCTTATTATTTAGTAAATCTTATATGTTCATTACTAATTTTGTCCTTGAATTTGAATTCTGATAAAATGTTGGTAACTATGTGTATGTTATATAATATAATACAAATATAAAAGTGCCATGTAAAATATTTCTAAGAATGTACTGTAGATTATGTTATTTCAAATGTCAAAAGTATAAAAGAAATACAAAAATGTCTGCTTCTTTTTCTCTAGGTTGTTCTGTCTTTATTGCTCTACACCATTAAGTTTGTAGTTTTTCATTTTTTTATTATAACTGTAAACTCAAAAACACACATTTGCTTGCGGTTTGGTGTGTTTTAGAGGCACCCTTTCATATTTATTTATGATCTTATCTCTTCATAATCTTAAATCATAACACATTATATTTCTTGTTTTCTGTTACCTTTTAAATTTATGGTTTATCTTCAGGATAACTTTGTTTAATGGGAGTGGTAAACATTTTTCATTACATTTTGTAGCTATGGTGACTTACATGGTCAAAGAGACAATAAAGTTACTACTTAAATTGAATTAATTAAATAGTCAGATTAATTTAGTTCCACTTTACCCACAAGTATTTAATTTAAAACTCATTAAGAACAAGAAAAAAGGGGTTGGAGAGTTGTATCAGTGATTAGGAACACTTACTCTTCTATCAGAGAACCTGAATTTGGTTCTCAGCATTTACATAGTAGCTCATAATTATCCAAGCGGATCTGATGCTTTCTGACCTCTTCAGGCACTAATTGTAAAGAGTAAACAGATATACACATAACAAGCACCAATGATGATAAAATATATATTTAAAAATAATAATTGAAAATATATCTTTTTTATTGAGCTATGCATTTTTCTCTGCTTCCCTCCCTTTCTCTCCTTCCCTTTCAACCCTCTCCCATGGTCCCCATGCTCCAAATTTACTCAGGAGATCTTGTCTTTTTCTACTTCCCTTGTCAATTAGATCCATGTATGTCTCTCTTAGGGTCCTCATTGTTGTCTAGGTTCTCTGGGTTTGTGAATTGTAGGCTTGTTTTCTTTGCTTTATGTCTAAAAGCCACTTATGAGTGAGTACATATGATATTTGTTTTTCTGGCTCTGGTACCTCTCCCAATATGATGTTTTTCAGATCCATTTAATTGCCTGCAAATTTCAAAATGTTATCATTTTTTTCTTCTGTCTAGTACTCCATTATGTAAAGGCACCACATTTTCCTTATCCATTCTTTAGTTGAGTTGCATTTAGGTTGTTTCCAGGTTCTGACTATGACAAACAGTGCTGCTATGAATATAGCTGAGCACATGTTCTTGTGGTATGATTGAGCATCCTTTGGGTATATACCCAAAAGTGGTATTGCTATTGCTTGAGGAAGGTTGATTCTTAATTTTCTGAGAAATCACCATGCTGATATCTAAAGGGGCTGTATCAGTTTGCACTCCTACCAGCAATGCAGAAATGTTCCCTTTACCCCACAACCTCTCCAGCATAAGTTGTCTTCAGTGTTTTTGATCTTGGTCATTCTTACAGGTGTAAAATGGAATCTAAGAGTTGTTTTGACTTGCATTTTTCTGATGGTTAAAGATGTTGAACATTTCCTTTAGTGTCTTTCAGCCATTTTAGATTCCTCTGTTGAGAGTTCTCTGTTTAGGTCTGTACTCCATTTTTTATTGGATTATTTGTTCTTTTGATGACTAATTTCTTGAGTTCTTTGTTTATTTCGAAGATCAGAACATTGTCTGTAGGCTGCCATTTTGTCTTGTTAACAATGTGCTTTGCTTTACAGAAGCTTTTCAATTTAAAGAGGTACCATTTATTATTGTTTCTCTCAGTATCTGTTCTACGGGGGCTGTATTTAGGAAGTGGTCTCCTGTGCCAATGTGTTTAAGTGTACTTCTCATTTTGTCTTCTAAGAGGTTCAGTGTGGCTGGCTTTATGTTGAGGTCTTTGATCGACTTGAGTTTTGTACATGGTGAAAGATATAGATCTATTTTCATTCTTCTACAGGTTGAAATCCAGTTATGCCAGCATGCTTTGTTAAATATGCTTTCTTTTTTACATTTTATATTTTTGCTTCTTTGTCAAAAATAAGGTGTTTGTAGGCGTGTGGGTAAATATCTGGGTCTTAGAATTATTTTCATTTTTCCTCCTGTCTGTTTTTATGCTAGTACCAGGCTATTTTCAGTACTGTAGCTCTGTAGTAGAGTTTGAAGTCAGGGATTGTGATGTCTCCAAAACTTCGGTTTTTTTTTGTTTTTGTTTTTTGTTTTTTTTTTTTTTGCTTTTCCACATGAAGTTGAGTCTTGTTCTTTCAAGGTCTGTGAAGAATTTTACTTGGATTTTGATGGTCAATGCATTGAATCTGTAGATTGCTTTTGGTAGGATTGCCATTTTTACTATGTTAATTCTACCTACCCAAGAGCATGGGAGATCTTTTCATTTTCTGGTGTCCTCTTCAATTTCTTTCTTCATAGACTTAAAGTCCTTGTCATGAAGGTCTTCCACTGTTTGATTAGAGTGACACCGAGATATAAAAATCTAACTTACAGAAACAGAAGAATGTTCAAGAGTGAGCAGTATAAATTATGGGGTTGAAGAAAGCCACTTTAAAAAAAATCATTTTCTGTCTCAAGTTAAAATCTGTATCTCCCTGATATGGAAGTGGTGAGTGACATCAGCTTGAAATTGGGGTTTATCTTTTTTACACAGACTGGAGTGGGCATCACGGGAATCTCCAAGCTTCTCTATTATTACAGTTTTGCTTTGCTCACTGGAGAAAATATTAGACCAGCAGACCTGATCTTCAACCCTCTTGCCTTTCCCAACAACTTAATTCTGCTTTTCAGAGGGATCTCTGAAATATGTTCAGCTTTCCAATATAAGCATTTCCTGAATGATGTTGAATATCAAGTTTTTTTCATATCTTAATCAAGTAGCCAGAAGTTTTCTATTGGTACCACATGGCTTCCGAGTGCATTCCAGGCCACAGATCTTTGACTCAGATTCTATTGGTGTAAGTAGCTCAGAAAGAGATGCCCAAGATCTGTTGGTGTCTGTAGCTTCTATATTTTGGGTCCTTTAACTCGTAGTAAATATCTCTTTTCCTACTGGAGTAACTGACTCAATGAACAGTTAAATAAATGTATAAACATGGATTACATCTCACCCATACTGAAAAAATACATAATATTATTAAATTTGATCTTGTTCTTTGCATTGCAGATACATGCTTGGTGTTAATGATTTGGGCCAGTCGTCCTTGTCCTGAACAGATAGAAGCAGCAAGTTTAGCATCTTCACAGAAACAGACTCTGAGAGATGACCCTGAGAGCTGAGCTACAAGCTCATGAACATTTTAACATAATCATACAAGACTTTATGTTTGTTATTTTCATTTCTTTTTAACAACATATTTATTTTTGCTTTTATTTATGTGCATACATATGCTGGGACATGTGTATTGGTGCCAAGAGAGCCATGAAATGGGTGTCAGATCTTCTAGAGTTGGAGTTCCAGGTGCTTGTGGGTTAGAAACTGAATCTTGGTCCATTAGAGGAGCTGTATGTGCTCTTAAACACTGAACTATCTCTGCTGTCCCTCTTTCATTTTGAGACATTGTCACATGTAGTCAAGATTGCCTTGAGCTCACTGTGTGTTCAAGTCTAGCCTTCAAAACATAATCCTTCTGGCTCTACCTGCTGAGTGTAAGAACAACTATCAAGGATCAACATACCCTCTTATGCAGGATTAACTTAATATAATTTCCTCCATTATATAGCATTCATAACTGAAAAAGTTTTGAATAAATGTTATGAATAAAACCATCAAAACAAGAGAAAAATACTGTCATATAGTTGTTTTTCATATAACATCTGAAAAATATTTAAATTTTAAATAAATTGAATCCAGTGGATTCATATAAAGAAAAGTAACCATGAAATAAGCCTGCATGTAGATAAGCACATGGATTTATATGATCTGAAAAACTCTGCAGTGCTTGATATGAAGAAAGAGATAAAGTGGGTTGTGGGGGTAGGTGAATTAGTAACAATTTGAAAGACTGGTTCTATAATGAATGGTGATATCGGTCAATAAATATACCTTTATCCTTAGGACATTGCAGATGAGAGATCCACCATATTCATATTATTATCATATCTTCATAAAAATAAGTTGCTGTGGATTTAAAATGCATTATGGGAGCTGTGAATGGTTTAGCTCTTCAAATCTCCAGAAATCCATACAAGTGATCAGTGAGCACGGTAGTTGTCTTTAATTTTACTATCATGTTGGGAGGCAGAAAGAGGCAATAGCCATGTCCATGATGGTTTTTTAGTCTTGCAATGTTAAATATTTATGGTGGCTTGAATGATAAACGGTCCCATAGTTTCTGCACTTCAGTGTTTAAGTCCGACTTTTGTATAAGGAAATTGAAAACATTCACAAAACATTTTACCCTGGGGACCTCACTGGGATCAGACCTTAATCTTAATGCATTGGAAAGGAGCCCCAAGAAGGTGCTTTTCCTTTGCAACCTTCTTCTATCAATGTTGGACTCAAAACCCAGGGTTTATTCTCTCCATTATGCAGATTCAATTTGTTCAGGAGAAATCTCATGAAAGAAAGATACTAATTCAAAGAACAGCAATCAGATCACCTTCCTGAGAAGGTCCTGTTACCTGAGGTCTGAAGATTTGAAAGAAAGTACTCACCTGTATAGTTATAATATGTCTAATGCTGGCTTCTGGATGGAGATTCAATACCCAGTGGCCAAATAGATGGAAGTTGCAGTTTGTTTCCTGGTTTCTCAGACCTGAATAATCACACAGAAACTATGTTAATTACAATATTGTTTGGTCAATAGCTTAGACATATTCCTGGCTAACTTTTATATCTTAAATTCACCCATTTCTCTTATTCTGTGTATCGTCACAAGGCTGTGGTTTACCAGGTAAGGTTCCAGTGTCGTTCTCCTTTGGCAGCTTTATGGCATCTCCTTGATTATGCCTACTCTTTCTTTCTACTTCTTTGTTTGGATTTTCTGTTTGGCTTTACTCAGTTAAGCCATTGACCAAAAGCTGCTTCTTTATTAACCAATGACAGTAAAACATAGTCACAACATACAGAAAGAAATTCCACACTACCTCCCCTTTTCTGTCTAATTAAAAAGGAAATTTTAACTTTAACATAATAGGATTGCATACAACAAAACAGTTATTAGGCAAGAATTATAGCTACAATATTTAGTCCATTTACATTTAGAAAATTAAGGGAAATATTCATCTTCTATTCTATATTTGTGAGTCTAAAGTTTTATATTTAATCTATCTTCTATAATTAAAGCTATCTTTTTTCAACTCCAATGAGAGACTCCAGAAGGAATATAATATTACCTAAGTAAACAGGAAGAGCATTGTAAGCAATTTCCAAAACTCTAGAACTGACAGAGATATCCTGCTGCCTGGACAGTTACCCAAAGTTCTTTTGTAACATTGGGGCATCCATCTTCAGCCTACAGCCCCATGGCATATGGCAGACCTTTCCATGAAGCAGAAAATTTCAAAGACAATTCTGCCTATATTGGCAGATTGTAAATCACTTTCTTCTGTGTCCTGCAGAATGTCTGGAAGACTCTGTCATGAAGCGGGAAACTTGAAGGACTGTTTCACCTTCTTTGGGAAAGTTTAACAGTCATTTTTGAGCAGTACAGTCAAAGCAGTTTCTTAATCCAAATGGCTAGCCTTGTCACATTGAAGGCAAATTCCATAATGAGTTTCTTCAATGCCCATCTACCTCTCTGAAGTATTTGGTGCTGCCAGAAGCAGACATGTGTCACTTCAAGAAATGTATAAGTTCTTAAAACATTTTAAATTTCATATTCTGTACATCTTTGAAAGTTTTGAAAAATACCTATCCATCTGAAATATCTCTGTACATCTAGAAAACCTAAAAACATGACTATAAATTGGACTATTATAAATGACTGTCTATTAATCTGTATTTCTTAACTATATATTACATTTTAAAATGAACTAAACAAACACAATACTTTAAACAAGAACAGAAATATACATATAACAAAATTGACCTTAAATTTATATCAATAGACCAAGATCTGTACCAATGCAAAGTATTCATCTGTAGAGCATATCCCTTTTGAAATGAAAACAAACATTTATAAACAACCATTTAGGGGTTTGGCTGTTGTTATGTCCAAACTGCTTCCTACTTTTTGTTGGGCAAAGTATTTTGAGGGATTTGTGGAGATCTTTCAGGTGGCCTTGTTTTATCAAACCACATTAGTCTGGAAGGAATCCACAGGTTATCATTCTCTGGGGAAACAAAAGCAGAACCTCTTTTCTAAAGCAACATATCCTTAGACCAAATTTTGATATCAAGATACCTTTAAAAATAATATGTAGAAGGAGCGGCGGGCTGCGTTCTCGCCTGGCTCCCACATAGCTAGCTTTACACCCAGAAATAACAACACACAAACTATTCATTTAAATACTGCCTGGCCCATTATCTGTAGCCTCTTATTGGCTAACTCTCACATCTTGACTTCAACCCATTTCTAATAATCTGTATGTCACCACGAGCTCGTGGCTTACCTGGAAAGATTCAGCATGTCTGACCTGGCAGCTTCATGGCGGCAGCTCTCTGCCTCTGCCTTCTTTCTCTCAGAATTCTGTTCTGTCTTCCCTGCCTACCTATGTTCTGACCTATCAGGCCAAGCAGTCTCTTTATTAATTAACCAATGAAAGCAACAGAAATACAAAATATATATTAAATATCTCTTCTTAGTCAAGAAATTTAAAGAAAACACAATAATATACTCTGTATATTTTCCATCTTTATGTGACTTATATTTATTTACTCTTTTAATGTTTGACTGTCTGTACTCTTTTATATTACTTTTACTGTATCTTTAATGACTTTGCTTTATTTTTAAAACTCTTTACTTTGTAACTGTCTATACTCTTTTTTCTCTGTCTTTCAACCCTACATACATTTTTTAAATACACGATGACACATTTAGAGGTTTCTTTCTGTCTGAACATGTCTTTATTGCGTAGCCGTAATCATTTTCTGACCAGTAAAACTTTTAAAATGTTAAGCAGCTTGGTTGCAGTGGCCCTGGATGATAGCTCTGCCTCTCTTAGCTTTTTAATAAGGTTGCTGTACCTTTACCTCTAGCTCTGAGACTGCCAGGTAGTAGCTATGCTTACCACTTTAACTGTGGGAAGAATCATGCAGAACATAAACCCTTTTATCTGAGAAAACGTTGAATCTTCCTTGCAGTATACTGCAAGGCCTGGAAATATCTCTGTGTATGGCTGTAGGAATCTGCCATACTCTGCTACCTGTGCATGCCTAGCAGACCAGATCTGGCTGCTTGTCCAGGTGGGAGTGCTGCGCTGCTGGTGGGCTCTCAGCTCCTTTCCTCCTTACCTCGAGTGGGCAACCAAGCACCCTGAGCGAAACTTATGAGACACTATAAAAGCAGTGCTAAGAGGAAAACACATAGCACAAAATGCCTACATAAATAATGCCTACATAAATAATTTTGAGAAATCTCATACTAGTGACTTAACACCAAACCCCAAAGCTCTAGCATATAAAGGAAGCAAATTACTCCAAGAGGAGTATATGACTGGAAATAATCAAACTGAGTGTTGAAATCATTAACATATAAACAAAAAGAACAATACACAGAATTAATGAAAGAGTTTGTGTTTTGAGAAAATCAACAAGATAGACAAACCCTTACCTAAACTAACGAAAAGGGAGAGAGAAAGAGAGAGAGAGAGAGAGAGAGAGAGAGAGAGAGAGAGAGAGAGAATTGAAATGAACAAAATCAGAAATGAAAAGAGACATAACAACAGTCACTGAAGAAATCCAGATCATATTTCAATAACAGGTACTTCATAAAATTGGAAAATTTAAAATAAATAGACATGTTTCTGGAAATGTATCACTTACCAAAATGAAATCAAGACCAGATAAACATTTTAGATATACCTATAAACCCTAAAAATTAGAAACAGTCATTAAAAGTCTTCCAACCCCAACCTCAAAAGAAAGCCCAGTGCCAGCCGGTTTCATAGTAGAATTCTACCAGAATTTCAAAGATCAGCTACTACTAATACTCCTCAAAATGTTTCATAAAAGAGAAACAGAAGATACATAGCCAAATTGCATTTATGAGGCTAAAGTTACACTGAGAACGAAACAACATAAAGATGCAACTAAGAAAGAGAATTACAGATCATTCTCCCTCTTGAACACTGATGCAAAAATACTCAATAAAATATTGGCAAACAGAAACCCCAAAGCACATAAAAAAGTCATCCACCATATTCAAGTAAGCTTCATCCCAAAAATGCAGGGATGTTTCAAAATGCAAAAATCTGTCAATGTAAGTCACCATATAAACAAACTGAAACACATGGTCATCTCATTACATACTGAAAAAGCCTTTGACAAACCAACACCCTTTCATGTTCATATTAATGGTTTGGGGAGATTTTTGGTGCAAGGAGCACAAATAATGTAATAAAAGTAATTTACAGCAAGCTGACAGCGAACATAAAATTAAAAATATAGAGAAACTCAAAACAATTTCACTAGTATATTATATAGTCAAATATTCACTATTTGCAGATGAGATGATAGTTCACATAAGTAACCCCAAAAATTAAACTGGGGAAGTCCTACAACTGATAAACACTTTTAGTAATGTGGTAGGATACAGGGTTGACTCAGAAAAATCAATAGTCCTCCTATATACAAATGATGAATGGGATGTGAAAGAAAGAGAAGAAATATCAGTCTTTACAATAATAGCAAATAATGCAAAATATCATGGAGTAAGTCTACCAAACAAGTGAAAGACTTGTATAAGAACTTAAATCTCTGAAGAAAAAAATTGAAGAAAATATCAGAAAATGGAAAATTTCCCATGTTCTTGGACAGGTAGGAATCTTACCAAAAGCAATCTACAGATTCAATGCAATTCCCTCCAAAGTTCGAACACAATTCTTTACAGACCTCAATACAACAGTACTACATTTCACATGGAAAAACAACAAAATTCAGGATAGCTACAAAATTCTGTACAGAAATTTCTGGGGTCATCACCATCTCTGACTTCAAACTGTACTATAGAGTTATAGTAATAAAAACATCTTGGTAAAGGCATAAAAACAGACATGTGAACCAATGGAATTGAAGACCCTGACATTTATCCACACATGCATGAACACCTGAATTTTAAAAATGAAGCAAAAACTCAACCATGGGAAAAAGAAAACAACTTGTACAGAAGGCGCTGTCGGAGCTGAATGTGGACTTGTGGAAGATTACAGACACATAGCTACCTCCAGACATAAAACTCAAGTACAAGTGGATCAGAGACATCACTATAAACCCATTTCACACTGAACCTGATAGAAGAGAAAGGAGGAAGTAGTCTTGAATGCACTGGCAGAGGAGACCACTTCCTGAATATAACACGAGTAGCACAAACACTGAGACCAAAATCAATAAATGGGAACTCCTAAAATTGGAAAGCTTCTGCAAGGCAAAGGAAATGGTAAATAAAACACAGTGACAGCCTACAGAATGGGAAAAGATTTTCATCAACAACACATCTGACAGAGGAAAAATATCCAAAATAAATAATAGCTCAAGAAACTAGACATGAAAATACAAAATAACCCAATTAAAAATGGTGTGCACATCAAAATATAAAATTCTCAGGAGAAGGATCTCAAATGGCCAGTAGACATTTAGTGAATTGTTCAACATCCTCAGGCTTCAGGGAAATGCAAATCAAAATGACTCTGAGATACCAAATGTTAATATTCCTAATCCCTGTATTTAAGAGATTGTTAAAAAAATTTTAGTATCTTCTTCAATATATTTCTTAAAAGTTTTCATTGTTCAATTCTCATATTTTCTTGTTTAGATTTATTGAGGTTTGCTTTATTACAGACTCTGTGGTCAATTTTAAAAAGGTTCCATGAGGTGCTGAGAAGAAGGTATATTCTTTTCTGTTTGAAGGTATGTTCTGTAGATTTCTGTTTAGTCCATTTGAGTCATGACATCTGTTTGTTCTCTTATTTCTCTGTTAAGTATCTGTCTGACATGTGCACTGGGGAGAGTGGAGTGCTGAAGTCTCTTACTATTATTGTGTGGGATTTGATGTGTGATTTAACCTTTAGTAATGTTTCTTTTACGTATATGGGTGCTCTTGTATTTGGGGCATAGATGTTCAGGATTGAGATTTCATCTTGATGGATTGTTCCTATGATGAGTATAAAGTGTCCTTCTCTATTTCTTCTGATTGATTTTAGATTGGTGTCTATTTTGTTAGATACTAGGGTAGCTACACCCACTTGTTTCTTAGGGCTGTATTTGAAACTAGGTATTGTTTAAATCTGTTTTTGTTATGGAATATCTTGTTTTATCCATCAGTGGTGCTTGAAAGCTTTGCTGGTTATAGTAGTCTGGGCTCCCATCTACAGTTTCTTAGTGTCTGCAACACATCTGTTCAGGACTTTCTAGCTTCCATGGTTTCCATTGAAAAATTGGGTATAATTCTGAAAGGTTTGCCTTTATATGTTACTCAGCCTTTTTCCTTTGTAGTTTGTAATATTCTTTCTTTATTCTGTATGTTTTCCATTTTGATTATTATTTTACATATAGTGAGGGGACTTTTTTGGTCCACTCTATTTGATGTCCTGTAAGCTTCTTGTACCTTCATAGCCTAGAAAAGTTTTCTTCTATAATTTTGTTGAATATATTTTCTGTGACTTTTGATCTGGATCTCTTTTCTTTTTTCTTTCCCAATTATTTTTTAGGTTTGGCCTTTCCATGGTATCATAGATTTCCTGGATGTTTTGTGTTAAGAATTTAGTGTATTTAACATTTTTATTGACCAATGTATCTATTTCTTCCAAACTATCCTCCGCACCTGAGATTCTCTCTTCCAGCTCCTGTATTCTGTTCATTATGCTTGCCTCTGTTGTTCCCATTTGTTTACCCAGTTTTTCCATTTTTAGAATTCCCTCAGTTTGTGTTTCCTTTATTGCTTCTACTTCATTCTTCAAGTCTTGAACTGTTTGAGCTGTTTGCTTTACCTGTTTGAGTGTTTTTCTTCATTTTCTTGTGTTTCTTTCAGTGATATATTGATTTCTTCCAATATTTTGTTTGTCTTTTTTCCAATTTCTTTAAAGGAATTTTTCATTTCCTCTTTAAATTTCTCCATCATTCTCATAAAGTTAAGTTTAAAATCATTTTGTTCTGCTTTGTCTAGGTTAGCACGATCAAATGATGTCTTCCTGTTGTATGACTACTGGGTTCTGGTGTTACCATGTTGCTTTTTAGGTTGTAGAATGAATTCTCGCACTGACACCTACCCATCTCTTCTTCCAATTGGTGCCAAAAGTATCTTTTCCTCTTGGTCCTGTCCTGCAGTTCCTGTCTGTGTCTTTGGAAACTGTTCTTGTTCTGCTGTGTAGTGTCACTGTCTGTGTCTCAGGGAGCCACTGAGGTCTACCTTGGCCTGATCTCTTAGTCCACTCTCTTGATCTGCTCTCTTGGTTTACTCTCTTGGTCCATTATAGTCACAGCCTCTCTTGATCCTCTCTGTGTAGTCACAGACTGTGCTTCAGAGTTCCTCTGAGGTTGCAGGGTATAGGAGGATTTGTGAGCAGAGTGGAACTTGTAGCTTACAGGGTCTGATTGATTGGTTGGGGATGTTGGAGCAGCCTATCTCTTGGTCATCTCTGTGTGGTTGCAGCCTGTGTTTCAGAGTTCCTCTAATGTCATGGGGGATAGAAGGGTTTGAGGGCAGAGTGGGACTTGTAGCTTACATGGTCTGATTGGTAGGCTGGGGTGTTGGAGCAGCCTACCTGCAGGAAGCTTGCCTGTAGGATGGCTAGAGAACCTGAGGAAGGTGGGGGAGGGGCCTGGAGCTTTGCCTCCAGTATGGAGTGCTTACATAGTGGAGTGCCCCACAGGGTGACAGGCACTCACCTCTTGGTTCTCTCTGTGTAGTTTCAGCCTGTGTTTCAAGTTATTTTGAGGTCGCAGGGGATAGAAGTGTTTGGGGGCTGAGTAAAATTGTAGCTTACATGGTCCAATTGGTGGCATTAAAATTTTGAAGCAACCTGCCTGCAGGAAGTTTGCCTGCTGAATGGTTAGAGAAGCTGAGGCAGGTGGGGGAGAAGCCTGGGGTTTTATCCCAGTATGGCGGGCCTAGATAGTGGCAGCTGGGTGGGTGTTCACTTACCTCTTGGTCCTCTCTGTGTAGTTGCAGCCTCAGAAATCTCCACATTCTTAGGACCTCAGCATGCACTGGGAAGATGCTGGTCACCTCCAGAAGAGCAGATTTAGCAGGTCAGAACATTCGGATGCACAGCCATGTTTCTTCAATGTTGTCAGAAATCATCAGAGTGTGCACTGTGTCCTTATCAATCTGAAGGATTACACAGTATTTAAAGGTAATCTTCAATAGAGGAAATCAAGTCACATGGCAGAAATAAAGCAGAAAGCAAAGGAAAGACTGGAGTACATGTGTTAGGAAAACTCTGAAATGAATATAAGTAAGGACAGCTGTCTCAGGAGAGGAATTTTGAATTGCACAGTTTGTTGTAAAACTTGTCCTGGAAGACAAACCTGGAAGTTTTGAACTTGTGGATTTGACTTATTTTGGCTCATAATAAAATACAGGAATTCACATTGTGTAAGACCAATGATTTCTGCTGATCACTGGAATCTGTGGAGAACAGAAGGAATGAGGGACACAGTTTCAATGGACCTCACAGAAGAACCAGAATTGTTCTGTGGGATCTTAGCTTTAAGTAGTGTTTTTATTTCATGAAAAATTTTCAGAAAGGCTAAGAATAACATTAATGGTAGAAATAAAACAGAACCTTACTGACTCAAACCTGGATTAAAACCAGCATAATGGAGTGTGATAGTTGACTTCCTGTGGTCTGCAAGATGCGGGCTGTTTCTCCAGGACCATACCTGCCTGCATGTTGTCATGCTCCCCGCTGTGATGCACTGAACTTCTGAACTGGGTATGACACAGGAGAGTCTCCCATGTTTCAGGAGCCATCGCTATCCCCTCACAGACATACTGATAACATTAAGTGGATTCAGTGGATTTAAGGAGGGGCATGAAATTAGGAAAGAACAGCTATGGGGAGGATTGGAAAGGTACAGAATGGAGGAGGGGGAGATGGGTTTGATAATTTACATCAAGAAAAAAGCATTAAAAATGGGGCTGGAGGGATGGTTCAATAGTTAAGAGCGTCGACTGCTCTTCCAGGGGACCTATGTTCTGTTCCTACCATTGACATGGTGACTCACAACTCTCTGTAACTCCAGTTTCAGGGGATCTGACATCCTCTTCTACCTCTGAAAGCACTGCATACATACGGTACACAGACATACATGCAAGCAAAATAGTCATACACATAAAAACAAAAATAATTAAATCTCTAAAAAAATCAGAACAACAAAAATCAAAGAAGTTCTGGAAAACATTCCAAAAAGTACCTCATAGTGTTTTGAGTGGTTTCAGAGTTTTATGTTGAGTCTTGAGAGTGAGTCTTTTCACTTTTTTTTGTCAACAATAAGCTATTTTTTAAAACACAAAGGAGTGTGTGTGTGTGTGTGTGTGTGTGTGTGTATGTGTGTGATACATTTCATTAGTTACCCCTGTTTCTCAGGCATACAGAGCTCAGGTAAAAATCTACTGTGAAATTATAGCAGTAGAGGACTAATGCCTTTATATAATGACTTTATTTAATGTGATTGATCAACCAATTGTCCAAGCACATATTAAGTTTATTTCTTTTGAAAAATGTCATTACTTTTGTTTTACATGTATGAATGTTTGCCTCCATGTAAGCATGTGCATTGTACATGTGCCTGGTGCCCACAGAGGTCCCGAAAGGGAGCTGAATTCCTTGGAACTGGAGTTTAGGTTCGTTCTGAGCTGCTGTGTGGGTGCTGGGCATCAAACCCAAGTCCTCCGGAAGAATAGCATATGCTCTTTACCTCTGAGTCATCTCTCCAGTCGCCTACATTTGATACATTAATAATGAATTTAATATTTGTTTAACACCCTATATCGAAGAAAATGGAACAAATATTTTTTTAAAAGTTATTCCAAATCTATGTATCTAAATAGGTATAAGAGAAACTTACGTTTCCTGTGTGAGTTGATGGATGGCAGGAACTTACCATGGAGGGAAGTGGGAGCTGTCGACAGAGGAATCCTGAAAGTTGAAGTTTCCGGAAAACCACAAAACCTTCAAGAAGAGCCTGATGGTTTGGCAGTCCCCGACTCAGTTCAGAAAGCAGCAGATGTCTGGGTTCAAGGGCATCTTGTGGGTGAAGGTCTTCCTGATAGCTTGAGGAGATGGAAACATTGCAAAAAGCCACCTCATAACGTTTTGAGTGGGATCCAGAGAATTGGGGAAGCTGGAGATTGAAATTTGCGGAGCTGGAGGCTGTGGGAGGGGCTGGGCTTTGACTTCTGCTGCCTGTCACCCCTCCCCCACCTCTTCGTGATCCAACAGACCAGAGTTCTGTGATACAGACCTGGGGAACATCGCCAGGTCCCAAGGAGCACGTGGCACCCAGTTCCTGCCAGGTTGATCCACTGTCACAGCTCCCTGGCAGCTCAGAGGCCCCTGAAGGACGTGATATGTAGAACAGGACAGTGACCGAGGGCATCCATGGAGGATTTCATACGGATGTAACCCTCTGAGGGGTGAACATATGCTATCAGGTACGCGGGGAGGTACACAGGCACAAACACGCCCGTCCTGAAGTCAGGTAATTGGCCTTGAACAGGCTCTAGCCTTCTTTCCCAGATGGCCTCTAACTGCTTGGACTCCAGACTGATGACACTGCCAAGTTCCTGGAGGACTTCCTCAGAAAGATGTTAAGGACAACGCCATGCACCATGCTGCAGAGTCCTTCCACTGTCCACTTATCCTCTGGAGAAGGTATTTACCGTGATAGCCATGGGCCCTCAGAGCCTCGTCTAAGCCGCACAAGATGGCTGGCTGTCTGCCCTCTCAACTCCATGTACTGTCTTCTGGGTAGAGCTAGACAAGGACTGTCTTAGGGACCTGGAAAGGCAGTCAATTGTCAAGTTGAAGCCCAATCATATCTGGGAATGAGCCTTGGGAAGAGATTGGGGTTGGAGTCTCAGTAGCCCCGTATAGTGTGACAATTCCCAAAGTAAAAACAGACTTCAGTGGCCAAAGAGACCATTGAGACAGTTCAGGGGGTGGGGGGGGGGCCACAGGCACCCAGCATGGGAGGTGATTGCTACATAACCAAATCCCTGGCATTTATCACGCTGTCACTCTCCTGGTCTCTGAGTCTGGGATCTTCACTGTACTGACTCCAAGTATGAAGGCTCAGTGATTAGTGAGGTTGATCTCACAATGGAGATCTGTCTGAGAAGCAGCCCCAGCACACATCTGTCTGATTGCACCCATCCAGATGGACACACTGCCATCTTCCCACAATAATTCCACAGAATGTATGAAGAGGTCAAGGAGTGTCCAATGGGATACAAGACATTGACCACAGGGCTCTCCCTGTGTTTTAATTACCCTGTTGTTTGGACCTCCAGCTAATTTTGAGTGTGTTGAGAACATGGTGTTTTCAACTTCCAAGCATATCACACTATATTTGTGATTCCTCCTGGATTTTTATAGCCAGTTAACCCCTGTGTAGTGAGAGAGACTTCCAAGGTACCATGGAGATGGTAGGATATGATTTCAAAATGGTGTCATTATGACATCATAGGAACCTATACTGGGGGAAGAGAACATTGTGGAATTTATTGTGGAGGACTTTGAAACTCTGTTGTGAAACTGCTTTTTTTTGGGGGGGGAGTGAAACAGAGGCTGATAAATCTGTGGTACTTAAGATATTGTTTAATAGCACTTCAGCTTGAATCATACTGAAGAATATTAAGGTAAGTGGATCACTTTAGATCATTTTTAGTGGAGGCAGAAGAAGATAAGAAAAGAAGAAGAAGAAGAAGAAGAAGAAGAAGAAGAAGAAGAAGAAGAAGAAGAAGAAGAAGAAGAAGAAGAAGAAGAAGAAGAAGCAACAACAAGAACAAGAAGGAAATCAGTGTTCTCAATGATAAAATACAGGTTCTCCCACACCAGTTTCACTAGATTTTGTGCCTCATGCCTCACAAGATTGTTAGTGTAAGCAGTACATCCTGGATAGAAAGGTAGTCTTCAGTTCGCAGCCAATGAATACCACAAAGTCTCACCACACAAGTCACTTCACAAAGGAGGGAGGGGAAAAATAGGAGGGTAGTTGCTTCTCCTTGGATGAAAAAAGTCAGAGTGCTGAGCAAAAGGCAGATATTATATAGATTTCTTGTGAAGGGAGTAGAAATTTCATGTGAAGCTTTTCAGAGTGGAGATTGGTGGGATTTCATTTCCAGAGATTGGAATTTTTACTCTGTAGGGTAGGGCAGGGTCCAGCAATTAGTACAGTTCGAGTGTTCTCTGAGTGGAACCTGGAAGTTGGAAGTCCTCAGGGGAGAGGTCTGGCCACTCATGTGACTTGAGGGCCTTACATTCCCCCTTTGTATTAATATACAATCAGGTAACAAGAAAGGGGGCAATGTTATCATTAGACTACTTCCTGCTTAATGGGGCAGTGAAGTCCTTTGATCTCTGGCCTCTGACTCTCTAGCTAGGGACTGATAATCCTGTAATATCAACTGAGTGACAGGCTGGTTAGAAATCTTTTGAATCTGTTGTTGAAGACAGACAAGAAATTTCAAACACAGGGTGCAACTGTAAGATTAGGAAAAAGAGAAAAAAAAAGAATGGCAGTATTCATTTCAAAATTGAATGCTGTCCAAAGGCATTGAGTTGTTTGTTATGCTTTTGGAGATCCATTTTAACTGTCTTGTCTTTTCTTTCACTGTATCTGACTAGTTGACATAGAAGCAACATTCTGAGGAAGAGAAAAAAGCCACCTCTTTCTGCTGTTAGTGAATCAAATCCACACCAGGTTTATAGTACTTATGGAAGACATTGATTCTAGTTGGCCCTGTAGGATAAGGATGGTCTGACCCACCCATTGGAGATCCTTGATGAACTAATAGGAAAACAAGTGGTAAATATCTAGGGAAGTAGTAGGTTTCACTCACTCCTCCAGTGGCTATGCCAGCGATTACACCCAGCACTTCTAGAGAGGGTATGACCTGCATCACTCCTCTGTCAGACCATGGTGCTATAAACCCAGTGATGGGAACCATCCAGGGTTCTTTAGCATGTACCACTTCCTTGTTTTGGAAAAAGCAACACCAAGGCACAAGTCCCAATCCAGTCAGGAGGCAGACATCAGTAAACTTGAATCTCACAAAGAATCAAGGCATCGTGAATGTTTGGGCATAGATAATGGGTGGTAGTACTAAGGCTTAAGGTATTATTGAAATCTATGTAATCCAGTGTTCCCACAAAGAATGTGTCTGAGGAGTTAAAGCAGTCTGTGATACCGAAGAGAGAGATGTGTGAGAGATAAAGGCTTGCAGTGACATTTGCTTAGAACAACTGATGAGAACTGAAGGGAGAGAGTTCATTACGACAACGTGTGAGGCACAAATGGTGATACTTAGTTTGACCCAGGAGGGACACACAACCAGTATTCCCCAAAGCAAGCAGTCAGAGCATTATTTAGTAGCTGATATGCAGAAGTTAAGGTATCAAATAAGATATGGTGTGATAGGGAGGTGAGTTCAATATAATCTAAATGGGATGATATTAAGGATGCAAGGAACATTGAGGAGCTCCTACCATGCCTGTACCAAGAGTTTGAGAGAGTGGGATGTGTGTCCATTGTATTTTGATTATACCTAAGGGGCAGCTGTGATAAATGTTAAAGTAAAGTTTACCAAGGACCCCCATCTCCCTTCTTGGATGCCATGGACCATTAATTAGAATGTATAAGATTGATCATTTTGCAAAAATGGTAGAACACCTTACTGAATAAGCCTCATGTCTCCTACAGGACCAATGAGGGCAGCCTCAATAAGTCTCTGGCCAATGTGTATAGTAATCTCTAGTTTGACATAAAGAAAGCAAGCATAGGAGGCAGGAGTTTTTAGAACTACACTTAGGCGTTATAGGGATAAGTATCTCCTTTTGGCAACCTGTGGGTGTGCAGTCTTCAGATCCCACCACATTAGTGCTCTGATAGAACTCTTAAATATAGGTTTCCTCATCCTTTGAAACATTAATATAACAATAGACAGCATAAATGGAAAAAATCTGAAACATTTTTCATCATCATAAATCACTTTTATATACCTTCAGAAATTTCATTTACATACCTTATCATATTTTATCACACCTTCAGAAATTTCCTAAGCTTTTGTATCCTCAGACATTTATATACTTTCTCAGACCCGCAGAACTCACTGAAGCTTTCACCAGTATCCTTTCTTAGGCTCTCATTAGGAATATCAGTCCTGACACACTGATATTTAGTTTCTCTCCGTGACCCCTTCATGTCATTTTAAAACTAATACTACCCAGGTGATTCTTATATTACAGAGTTTGACTAACAGTATGAGGTATATTGTATGAATACATGTAGGTGCAGTTTTAATACTGTATTAAACAAGTATTTTTTGTTTTTGTTTCTTTGTCTCTTCATAAACCCTGTTTTTATGATTTTTGTTTTCAGGATAGAAATTATACAAAAATAGAGAAAACAGTCATGGGAGTAAGCAGTGAAGGAGAGATGGACAAGGAAGTTATGGGAAATTAATTGGCCTTTAGCAGTCTGATGTAGAACAGTTTCTCTATGTCCCTTAGGATGGGCTGTTAGTTAGGAGGTTCTCCATATGTAAGAGCTACACTGTATAGGTATATTTAGGAAGAAACGGTAAATTTAGTTATAAAAGATTTTCAGATCATTTGTTTGTGCAGTGGCAGAAGTTGTCACCACTTAAAATTGAGCATGTTGAGCTGGCTTGTTGGAACCTATTCCCTACGGTGGGATATCTTACCTAGCTTTGATGCAAGGGGAGAAGGTTAGTCCTGCTCAAATTGATATGCCATGCATTGTTAACTTCCATAGGAGGCCTTTCACAATCTGAATGGAGACAGAGGATGAGTTATAGGGAAATACAAGGGAAGTAGGGGGAGAGAACAGGAGCCAAGGTGGGAGGGGAAATTGTGGTTGGTATGTAAAATAAAGAAAAAAGAAAATTGAGTGTGACAATTTAGGCCTTTGAAATATACTGAGCCCAAACTGTTTGTAATAACAGAGTGAAGTTTTAATACGTTCTGAAAAAGAAAGGAAGGGTCACAGGTTGAACTCCAATGGATCGAGTTTCTATAAGCTCTAGGTGGGTGTTGAGAGGCAAAGGAGAAGCCTAGGATCACACAGAGAAGCAGTGAGACTTACAGAATGGAGCTGAGAGACAGGAGGGACAAGGTCACAGAGGACAAAAAGGGCTCAAGGAATCTGTGGAATTTAGCAGAAAGTGTCTTTTGCTAGACAGGGAAAATTGTAATGTATAGGCCCAGGATGGAACTAGTGACAATTACCAGG